GTAGTGGGCGGGAAATTAAATCACAGACAACAACAAACTATTCAAAACTTGACCATGTAATTTCTCTTGCCATCACTAAGTCTTGGGAAATAAATTCACAGAAGAGAAAATAATTTTCTTGTTTTCTATTATTTGTAATAAATTGGAATTATATTAATAATAATGTAGTTCAAATAATAATAGGTTGATTTCTTGTAGTGGGCGGGAAATTAGATCACTGTCCAAATAATAATAAGTTGATTTCTAATTAGATCACAACAAAACAAGGTGTTAATATTAAACCATTTTTAAACTTGACCATGTAATTTCTCCTGTCATCATTAAGTCTTGTACAGGAGAGTTAAAATAATTTTCTTAAATAAACTTTTGCTTTCTATTATTTATAATTTTATTAAAGATTGTATAATAATAACATAGTTCAAATAAATCGATTTCTTGTAGTGGGCAGGAAATTAGATCGTAGCAAAAGCAAGTTGTTAATATTAAACTATTAGTAAGGTGACATTAATTGGATTTTTATCATGAATAATTATGTGATAAATTATTTGTTGACATTTTATTTCTGCAGAGTATCTAGAAATCCAATTACATATAGTTTCTACCTTAGGAATTTCAATAAGTTCTTTATGCGTGACCACATATAAAGCCACTATACTCTCCATTAATTGGCCATTGCCAAAAGTATAAATCTGAAACACCAGCTAAAATTTTCACTCTCTTTGGCTCTAAATGGGCAATTGAAGTTCCACAAAGTTTTTTAACAGCTGATTCTATATCACTATCTGTTTTTAATCATTTCCTAAACTTACAAATCTTCTGATTGCATGTGCAATCTTATATATAAAATAAATTATTGTGTTGAAATTGGCATAAAATCCATATTTCAGGCAGCCTTTGTGCAGTTTGTGCATACCAAGAATTAATATTTCAATCAATGGATAATAAACAAATATACTTGGGCATGATGAGAATCTATTGCGGTTTTGGCTTCACCTGGCTCCAAAAATGTCCACTTTCTAACTTCTATCTCATATCACTTATGCCAGTAACCTAAAATAACCATCAACTCTGAGTTGTGATAATGTCCTTCATTATCTGAGATGATAGAAATACATTTAAGTTTTTTTTCCAATGATGTAATAACTGCATAAAGTGAAGATGCTGTGAACCAAGCATCTTGTTTTGTGTCATTAGACCAATGATCATATGCATTGATCTTCAATGTATCTGCTTGATTTTTAGTATATAATAAAATACTGTGCAAATGACCAATCTTTTTTCCAAAAAATTCTTCTTTGGTCTCATGGGTTGATTTTGGAAGAATTCTCATTTTGTAATCTACCAACAAGACTGTACCATCATAATCAACTTCTCTAAGGTTAAAAATAAATTGAAAATTTAGATAAACCTTTTGAGTTTGATGACTAGATAATAAATTAGCTTATCTTGAGCATCCTTCAATATATTTTTTGAGTTCCACCAAGTATAAATCCTTGAATAAAACCCAAAATTCATCACAATCAGAACAAATTATTTCATGCGAATCTGTACAGATACCAAAAAGCATATGCAAGACAATGTGATATACAGGGATCATGGTGAGATTGTCCATCATTTTCAATTTGATTTCATTTTCATAATTTCTTTTCATATGCCTTTGTAGATGTTCAATCCTGTTGATAGAATTTGACTATATATAACAAAAAAAAAATTATTTGTTATAAATATTTTTTGTACAGATAATAATATATACACATATACACACATAACCAACCTTTTGTTCACTATATATATTACTTGCTGAAACTAAAACAATTAGATTTTCAAAAACATCATAACCATAATTGAAACAGATTGAACAAAGACCCCCAAGATCTTCTTGGTATTGAAATCTTGGACTTTTTAATTCTTTTGTGAAGGTTGTCCTTTTAATACCATTGAGATATATTGTTGAGAATTTCTCCCATTGTTCTTAATACAGACTGATTTGAAGTACTATCAACCTTATATGGGGCATGCTGAAACAAAACCAGACAAAGTGAATATTTGTATTACCAAAGATTTCAGGGATCAAAATTTAGTTATCATCAATATGATTTTATAATGTCCCATTTGTCTTGTTTTTTTTTTTAAGTGATATATAGAACTACCCCTATATAAAAATAGTTAATATGAAACTCATTTGCATTAGATCTACTATGGGACCAAAAAATTACAGCACCACCATTAGAAGTATTTTGAAGAAAGAACAAGGTGAAAAAATCACTCCTTACATTTTTAAATTAGCAGATATCAAATCTTTGCAAACATATTTAGACAAAGAAAGGATTATGTATGAAATTTACCAAGAAGAAAGAGTTTTCAAAAGAGTATTAGAGAATTCTAGTAAAGAATCAAGAAAAAAAAGAAAACTGGTAGGATAACTAAACAAATAATTACTTTTTTTTAATCTATGATTTACATAAAGTTTTGGGTAAAAATCCAAATAATAAAATGCTAGCAATATATAAGTTTTGGATCTGTTTAATTAGTTATCTTCAATAAGGCACCCCTTAGGAAGTTTAAGGTGATGGATATTTTCAAGAGAAAATAAAAAGAATTAATTTATTCACAAAGTGAAGCCACTTGCAAAATAATTAATTTAAAGAAATAAAATGCGTAAAAGACAAAAGGGTTTGTTTAAATATTTTGATTTTATTTATTATGATGTTATTACAATATTTTGTTATTTTTATATGTTAGATAGTTAACTTGGTTTTTTTTTGAAGTAAAGAAAAATTCAAAGTTTAAATAAATATTTAAATGCAGTGTTGTGCCATTTATGGTTCCAATAAAATTTCATTGGAGCATTCTAATAAATTCCAATTGGAATTGGAACATTCCAAATGTGGTTCCAATGAAGTTAACAAATGAAATTCAATTATAGTGTCATATACGCAAATTTTATTGGTTAATATCAATTGAAGATCTACATTGGAACATTCCAATAGCATTACAATGTTCCAATTGCACAACACTGAGTAAATGTAACACGATCTACATTGTAAATCACATGATTAGGCTGTTAAAAAATTCGAATAAAACAACAATCTGATTAAAAAAAATTTCATTTTTTCTTTATAGTCTTTGTAATAATAGTAATAGTTGTAGTTCTGAATTTCGCATATTTAGTGTATACAATACCAAGAACATATGCTAGTACCTTACCATGCTTATTTGCTTCTTTTCACTTACTCAAATATTCTGAGAACAATTTTAATTGATCTTGGAGATGAGCATCAGAAAGGAACGTATTTTCTTGAATTATATTTATTATCTATTTAAATATATAGATTAACCATCTACAAAGGTATTTTGGTCTGAATTTCTAATTATCGCAAAATATTTATTAAAGCTTGTTTAAAGAATTAGGTAAAAATATTTAGAGAGTAAATTAGTGCTATGTAAGCAAGAAAGAAGAAAGGTGGAGGTATTGTATGAATCAGTAAATACTGTATTTTAAAAATAATACACATTTTAGCTAATAAAATTAATTATTTATAAAAAGAAAATTTTGATTTTATCTTTCCCAAGTAATTTTGAATCTTTTTGATAAATAATTATGCAAATCAAATTAGCGGTAGAAAACTTTAGCCGGCTTATCAAATAATTTACTAGACAAATATTTTTATGATAAAAAAAAAATTCCTTTTAACATTCATTTTTATGTCCGAAATTTTAGTGCAGAATTCAGTGGCATAGACATTTAGTTGAGATGTGTCCATCTGCATTACTTAGAATGACAAAAGAAAAAAACATACATTTGCTCAAAAAAAAAAAATAATACTCATAGCAGGATAAATATAATAATAAAGAAGGCAAATTAAATAGTAATAATGGCAGCGAATTAGGAGATATTAATATAACAACAACATCAATAACAATAACGATAGTAGCAGTAATAATAATACAGCAAGCTTAGTAACATCTAATTAATTTAGCCACCTCATACAATTAATTCAAATACCAACATATATTCATTTGTGCTTGGATCTTTGGTGATTCCAAAGCATGAATTAATTTTTGCTTTTAACTAAAAAGATCAATAATTACAATTATTGTTATAATTAATAAATAAAATTTATAAAAAAATTAATATTAAAAGTTTCGCCTTTTTACAATAACTAAAATTTATCATTTCATTCAAAGTTTGTTGAAACGAGATTACTAATCGCGTCTCAATGAATTTGTATCTTTTCATAAGGTGTAACAAGATTTTTAAAACTCGTTGATTGAAATGCGAATTTAATTATAATTCGCTGGAATGAAGTTCGTTGAAACAAGGGTTCGACTATACTTGAAAAATAGTTTTTTTTGTGCTCAATGGAGTTTTAGAAAAGATATTGGGATTAAGGTTTCTCTCTTTATTAGTAGCCGAAATTGTGGAAAAAATTACTTTTTTATAAGCCCAAACTATTTTTTGTTATTAGCCGAAATTGGGCGAAATTACTTTAAAGTTGTTTAAGTTAAAATAAGTTGATTGGTATAATTTTTTAATGTTCATGTTATAAAAAATGCTGAGAAGCTCAAATTGCCCAAACTAGTTTGGGCCTTGAGAAAACAGTTTGGACCAGAAACCTTAGTTGGGATCATGATCCTGAAATAAGACCTACTGCTCAAGAAACTCATGATTTTTTATAAAGAAACTTATGAAGAAATTGAATTAGCAGAACCTAGAAGGCAAGAAATAATTAGATCAGGAAAATATTTGTCTGATGAAAAAAGTCCTAAATATCATCCAGAAACATTCTATATAACAATAAGTTGCTGTTCAACTCAACAACTAAATCATGGAACTTTCTTTATTTATGTATATTTGTTGTGCATGAAAATGAATCTGCAATTCATACACGTGAAATTCAAATTAGCCAATCAGGACTTCACCAAATTTTATAATAGTGAGTATTAATGCTCTTGTTCGTGATGATAGAATTATTATTTTTCAATTAAAGAAACTAGATATGAACCATCATTGGTAATATAGAGCTTTTTTTACCAGGCATTTTTAATGAAGGTAGGCATGTTATATATATATACATTGAACAATAACCAATATAAAGTTGCATTTGGAACAAATGAGTAGCATAAATATCTATAATATAAATGTTCATATGAACTTTAGGTAGTGGCATAAGTTTGCAAATTAGCCTTAATTGATATGCTCGAGGAATGCCAAAACAAATAAAGCAAGCAAACACTTTTTGTTGCAAATATCTAAATTGCAGCTTCCATAATTCAATAAATTCAATTGAAATAAAGAAAGCAATAATTATCATTCAACAAAAAAAGGTCATTTCAAACTGAAAACATTTTTTGAAATGCATAGATATCCTATCTAATCAGTGATAATATTTTTACTTTAAAAATTTATCCATACATTAAATAAATAATATTGATATTTGAAAAAAAAACTACCCTCTAATTTTGTTTATTTGGTTTATTATGTTTGTTGCATCCCAACTAATTTGTTCATTGTGATTTTGAAAAGTTACACATTTGAGATAATCTATGGCTTGATCATGATCCTTTTCGTAACCATGGGCTCCTTCAAAATAGCAAACACCTAAGAAGTGCAAAGCAACCTCATATCCATTTTCAGCTGCCAATTGTAAATATTTCTTAAATTCTTTAAGGTTTGCTACTTTATCTTTTTCGTAAATGAGGGATGCATAATTATATTGAGCCTTGGCTATACCATTGTCAGCTGCAATTTTATACAATTCAATTGCCTTTTCTTTGTCTTCTTGACTGGCTTTGCCTGTTTCTTCACCATGTTGTAAATAGTATGCTTTCCAATAAATTGCATTATAATTATTAAGTTCAGCATTTTCACAAAAACATTTCCATGCCAATTGATATTTTCCTCCTTTATAAGCTTTCACTCCTTCATCTAATGGTATGGGAGATTCAAATAAAGTTTTTTTAACAACTTTAAAATCTGAGTCCTTATCAATGTTATGATGTTGAATTTTGTCATTTGAAACTTCATCTTTAGCAATAAATTTAGCTACATATTTAGTATTTTCAAAACATTTCCATGATTCTGCCAATTCATTTTTTATTTCATCAAAAGATGGACGATTATGGGGTGAATGTTCCCAGGCTAACAATGAACAATAATTATAAATTATTAAAATGTTTATTGATGTAATGATTATTACTTTTGTTATCATTTACCTTTATTAATAATTTGAATTAAAACTTGCTGAATTTCAACATTGTGCACTCCAATTTTTATAGTTTCTCTTTGACCACTTTTGACATGTTCACCAATACTAATTGCATTCATTTCTTTATATGGAATTTGTTGATAAGTAAGCTCCCAAAGAAACATTCCAAAGCTGAATGAATGGACAAATTAATAATTAGTTAATGAAATTTTATTTAAAATCAAATCATTTCTGTTCATGTTTACCTAAACATTTCACAATCAAGATTATAAAGTTGAGTTCCTGATTCTATTTTTTCAGGAGCCAACCAAGGAATATAGTCATTTAAATTTGAAATTCTTGAAGTTTCACCAGATAGATTACGACTAAGTTCAAAATTTGAAACTTTTGCATTTCCATCCTCATCAATCTAAAAAGAGTACATGTTGGTTAATGTGTGCTAATGATGTTTTACAAAAAAAAATATAAAACCTACTAATATATTTTCACATTTAACATCATGATGTAAAATTTCACCATTATGCATAAAAAAAAGTCCTCTAATGACATCATATGAAATCTTTAATTTTGTAACCCAGTCAATGTAATGAGTATTGTACAAATCTTTTAAATTGCCCTTTTCAGCCCAGCCAAATATCAAAGCATTATGAGAATTTACATTGGAGATACCATAAAATTTAATGATATATTTACATTGAATAGCATTTAGTATTGCAAGTTTTGCTTGAAATTTTTTTGATTCAGAGGTATCATCATCATCCTTTGGATAATTTAAAATAGTTTTACATGCCACCTCAACTGTTTTTCTAAGCATTTTTTTAGCAACCCTCTTATTTGCACCTCTTACATCTGTATCCTTTCTGTAACTTAATTCTACATCATATATCCTTGGGATCAATTTTTGCCAATTTTATTATAGGATTAAGTTCCAAATTGTCAGATAACACACATTGATTTAATTTTTTTATTAAAACTGATCCATTATTCTGCATTGTTGTTTCCAAATTCTAAACAGAATATTTAGATATATATATATAAATATTTTTCAATGCATTTATAAAAAAATAAAAACAATTGATATCATTTACTTTATACCTCAAATTTTTCATATATTTTAGCAAAATATTTCTCCATGTTATTGCCTTGTTGTTTCATTGTATGATAACTGGAAAGAATCACATTGAATTGTAAATCTGCACATGCTCCTTCTAAATGTTTAACATGATCATCATAGCACTTTTTAATGTGGTCAGCATTAAAAAATTTTTTAAATCCTCCATAACTTGAAATATGTTTAATAAAATGTTTAATATTTTTCAAAACAGCTTCAAGCCTATTAAATGCTTTAAAATAACTTTCTTTACGGAAATTTTCTTCATTTGCTTCTTTTTCTCTTTCCATTTGTTTAATGGCTACATGTGCCAATTCAACTCTATGAATTAATGCTATAGAAATTGTCTTATTTTCTTTAATAGTATCATAAAGTCTTATAATTGTTTCACATAAATCACAGATTGTTTTAAGTATTGGTACATAATTTGTAAAGGCATCTCCTGTGGACAGTGCAAACAGGGAAACATTTTTTATTGTGTCCATTGTTGTAATATTATCATCTTTATCATCAATACATCTTTTTTTCGGCTTTCCATTTGTTATCATGTCTGTCATTTTAGTTGAAGGATCAATATTTCTTTTTTTATTTGACATTTTGAGAACTAAATTTTTATTCTTGTATTGTAAAAAAAATGTTTAAGAATAGTAATTGTAAGAATATGAAAAAAAAAGTTTTTTTAAGAACTGTATTAAAGGAATCTAAAATGGTTCATTTAGTATTATTATAATTAGTATTAGTGACAGGTCTTGCGGAAAAAAAACTCCGGAAAAAAAAGTATAATAATATTAATAATAATAATAATAATAATAATAATAATAATAATAATAATAATAATAATAATAATAATAATAATAATTATAATATTAATAATAATAATATTAATAATGATAATAATAATATTAATGTTATTAATAACAAAGTTTTAATTGATGGTGGTTTTTGTGGTGATGATAATGATGGTTTAAAAGACTCATTTGCATACGGAAGAGCGTGGGATGCATATTGTCTTGGTCAGATAATGGAAAGTATTTATGCTAGCCCAAAAAATACTTTGACTTCTTCACTTGACAGCCACTCACTAAATGCTACCAATAATGAAAATGGTGAAAGCAATCAATCCAAGGTAATAATAATAAATATTATATTCTATAATTTTTACTTTACAAATTGTTTATTTATAACTCACTTAACCAATCAATCATCAATTAAGCTGCCATTATCTGTTCAAGAAACAATATCATCATTATTATCTCCAAATTGGAGAGAACGTCCAACAATTGATGCAATAATTTATTCTTCAGTGCCTGCAATAGGCTTATATGAAAAAGAAACGCTACCATTACCTGAATGTATTCCAGAAGTTTACGAATTTCTGACTGATTTTCATAAAGTGTAAGCTAAAATTAAATTTTCATGTGTTTGTTTTTATTTTCAATTTTTTATAATAATAATAAATCGTTCACTTAATGTATGAATAGAGATTGGGTAGGAAGACTTAAGTTAGCTGAACATTGGATGAATAAACTTTGTAACCTTGTTGATGAGGTAAATTTCAATATTCATAAAATATAATAAAATTTTTTTATTTCATTGGTAAAATGTCAATTAATTGATTTTTAATATTTTTCTAATAGGCGTTTTATATGATTTTACCAAGCTTAATACTTTTATTTACGCACGATGATATTAAATTCGAAGCACTAAGCATATTTCCAAAGCTAGGCCAAAGATTAGGTCAAGATGAAGTAAAAAGCCATCTTTTAAAACCTATACTTTCTTTATTTGAGGTAACCAATATTATTATAATAATATCGTCATCACCATCAAAAACGTGGTTTTTGATAATTCCTATTCTAAATTTAATTATTTTGAATATAGTCATCAAGACCATCAATTCCAAAAATATTATTTGAATCGACTATAATAGAAGAATTTATACATAGATTTGGCATTACAAATTTTTTACAACAATTATTACCTTTGTATTTGGAAGCATTGACTATAGAAGAAAAGGTTCTTTTGAGTCCTTCAAGTGGCAGTAACAATAGTTTTCATTTAGATTTAGCTAAACAAAAGATTTTGACAGAAGTAGATTATGTATCAAGTCCTGTTTCTATTCCTACAGCTAATAAAGATATTTCTAGTTTGGACAATGCAATTCCATCAGTCGCTCAACTGGCAAATTCTGCTTTAGTAGAAATATGGTATTATTGTTATTTTTGATTTTAAGACTTTATTTAATAAATATATATGTATGATGATAAATTTTATTTATTTATTTATTAATCTTTTCTTTAGTACATTAATAGGGCCTATATTAACTTCTAAAAATGTAATGAGACAAGTATACAAAATGTTTTTAAAAGAAAGTTCTACTTTGCCATTTTTAATGCAATCAATTTTTGCAATTGGTAAAAGATTTTATTTATTATAAATTTATTATAAATTTTTTTACTCGTGAATTTTTATTAATTCATTAAAAAAACCCCCACAGGAAATCAATTTGGTGAAACTTTTGCTCATTTACAAGTAACACAAGTTATTAACATTATTCAACAATATGGTTTAAATACAATTAATAATGGAAATTATTCAATAATATGTAATAATTTATCTCTCTTGGGAAAAGTATGATTAACTGTTTTCTGTTTTTTTTTTGAATAATATTTTGTTAATTTATAATAATTATTTTTAGTTAAGAAATATTTTATTTGTTTGACAGCTTATTACATCAATTTCAAGTAATAAAATTTTATTAGAATTTGAATCAGGATTTTCAGAAACTTTAAAAAAACTTCTTATTCAGTTTGCAGATGAAGATAAGAACGCTTCTTCTCCCCCCTCATCCTCCTCATCCTCCTCATCTTCTTCAAAAAATAAATCTACAACGACAAAAAATTCATCAATTAGAATTTTAGAGAAAAAATTATCTATAAGCTCCAAAGTTATTGAATTTTTATTACATGTTAGTAACAATATTACTCAACCAGAATGGGAAAAACATGTAAGTTTTATTTTTTTTACTTTTGCTTTATTATTATCGATAATTTTGAAAATTGATTGTTAATATTTTAATACTAGATAGCACCTATTATACAAAAATATTTTGAATTGTTTGACAAGAATTTACCAGTAAATAATATAGATGAAAATATAATGTCAAATTTAGATGGTGCTAAAAAAGAACAGGTATTTATTATTCTTTTCAATCTATGCAATTTTTATAAACATAAACTCTTTTTCACACATGTAAAAAAATTTATAGATGGTTTATGCGTACTCACAGTTTTGTTCGTTGTTTGATCAAGGAATGATGAGACGTATTGTTTCTTTAAGGTTTTTGTCATTATTTTTTCTTTACTATAAATATCTATTCAAAATATGTTATATTCTACAATTAATTAATATATGAAAAATTTAGCGAAGCAATAGAAAATTATGATAATCATGATGTTGTTGAATCTCTTACCCCAATACTGTTGGCAAATTCGCCTTCATCAGTAACAGACACACTAGCAATAAGCGACCACGCTAGTATAACATCAGGATCATCAACAGAAAAAAATATTCATATTAAAAATAATTCCAAATGGGGTGTTAGTTTCGAAGACAAAAGACAATTATCATTGAGTCTATTGAACGCTAGTAGTGTGCTGTCTACAAATGAAGTAACGGCTACAATATTTACCCCATCATCATCATCATCTAACTTTAGCGGTGCAAATAAAACGCTTTCTTTGTTTACTGATGGGGCCAGTAAAAAACTCCTTGACATAAATAATAATGTTATATCTGGCGGAAATTTTTTTGATCGTTCAATGAGATCTATTAGTAATGGTCCTGTAAAAAGCAATACTTTAGGTTCCTCATCTCCTATTGTAGCTCCTAAAAAGTTGGTATATGTTTGTTATTTTATTTATTTAATATAATATATATAATTATTTATGCTCATTTTTTTTTAATCAAATAGATCAAAATTAAAAGATATATTTTCTAGAACAAAAAATTCGTCATTTGAAGACTTAAAGTAAGATTTTATCTTTTATATACAAGTGATATACGTATTAACATTAACTAACTTTTAATATAAAATTTCAATAGAAATTGGAATAGATTTTTATCGACTAATTCAGGTACCTATTAATTATTATTGTTGTAGTCGTTGTTGTTTATCTTTTTATATATAGAAATATAGAAAATTTTTTTAAATCTTATTTTTTAAAAGAGGAAATGTCAAACTCGATGCAATTTATGTTTAATGATTTAAAATTAAGGACTTTTCAAGGTAAAGTTTTAAAAAATAAAAAATTCAAAAAATATAAATATAAATATTATTATATAAACACGCGTTTTCGTATATCTTTCAGGCCACACATTAGCTGTTCGCTCAATAGATGTTAATGAACATTCACGATATATTGTGTCTGGATCACGAGATCGCACTGTTAAATTGTGGTCATTAAATATTC